TAGAAATATCACAGTAAATTTTGGAGTCTAAGTTAAGGATTGCCAACTATGATATTTTGATCGACGGATTTGATCTCCGTTGAACAAACTCAGGATCTCCTTCCTGATGAGCTGCTATGTCTTCTAAGTTAATCTTCTGCCGTGAAACTTCGTGAAGACATATACGTGACATGGAATCGGCGACAACGTTATTGGCAGCATCGACATGGCGAATGTCGGTAGAAAACTGTGAAATATAATCCAAATGACGAATTTCTCTGGGGGACAAACGGTCGGATGAACCACGGAAAGCAAAAGCAAGTGGTTTATGGTCTGTAAGAATGGTAAAAGTGCGACCTTCAAGCAGGTGCCGAAAATTGTTGATAGCGAGGTAGATAGCTAAAAGTTCTCGACCGAATGTGCTGTATCGCGTCTGTGCTGGCTGGAGTTGACGAGAGAAAAAGGATAGCGGCTCAGGTTGACCGTTGATTACCTGCTGGAGAACAGCCCCAACGGCGGTCTGAGATGCATCAGTCTTGAGGATCAGAGTGGCGTCAACATCAGTCCACAAATGACTAAACGCGGTAGCGTTGCACAACGCGTGCTTGATCTTGTCGAATGCATCGATAGCTTCCTGAGTTGGCTCGAATTTTCGTGACCTGCCTTTAAGTAAATCGGTCAATGACTGGAGTATCCCAGAGCAATCTGGTATGAAACGGCTGCAGTAATTCAACATGCCGAGAAAACGACGGAGACTTTTGAAAGATTGAGGCATAGGGTAGTCTACAATCGCTTGTGCTTTCTCGGGGAGTGGACTAATACCGTTGCAATCAATTCGGTGGCCCAAAAAATCAACAGAACTTTGGCCAAAAACACATTTGTCAACATTGATCGTAACGCCGTACTGAGCAAAGCGTTCGAAAATCGATCGGAGATGTGACAGATGCTCATCATGATTGGAACTGGCCACAAGAATATCGTCAATGTAGGCGTAGACGAAGTCGAGCCCTCTAAGGACTTGATAGATAAACCTTTGGAAAGTCTGTGCGGCATTTCGTAGACCAAATGGCATGCGAACGAATTCATAAAGACCAAATGGCGTGGTTGTAGCGGTCTTCGGAATATCGTCGGGAGCAACCGGAATTTGGTGGTATGCACGCACCAAGTCAATCTTAGAGAAAACTGTTCTTCCATGTAAATCAGTTGAAAAATCATAGATGTGCGGAACCGGATATCTAACCGTTTCGGAAAGCGATGTCCGTCACTGGATGGATTACGGGTAAAGACCTGCAGTAAAGATGGAACATTTAGTTTTTCAGTAGTTTGCAGCATTGGATATTATTAATCCCTGGACACTTGGTTTGTTTTACTGGTTGCAAATCCCCTTTAGCTGATGCTGTCCAATGAGTTGACTGCCATGATGCTTCCTTTCCGTCTTTCATTCTTCGTTGCAATTTGATGAGTTGAGTATCGCAAACTCCGGTTGCATATAATTACATATTTGGTCAGCATTGTACAAAATATGTGTGCGCCCAAAACTCTTTGAACGCAAATTATGCAAATTATGTCAATTAGCTTATGTGATAGATTTTACTAAGTCAGATATTACTCGAACATTTTTATTGCACTGTTCGTCTTCACAGGTATACATAGAGATAAACCTGCGGTGTGAAGTTGCGGCCTAAATAGAACCTGCAATACTTATAGGATTAAACTGATGCACACAGGTAATGATGAGGAGTTGGTTTGTAGCGATCAAAATTCATGAAATTCAAATGGATGTATACTGGTTTTCTATCGCGATTGTTCGCTTTCCTTTTTTCCCCTAAAAGCGCTGTCATATTTTCCCTCGTCAATAGCTAACCTTGCGTTGACAGCCATCTAGTGATTGACTTCTTAACCTAGACTGGTTATTTCAACAAGTTAGCTAAAAATTACGTCGAAGAATGGCCTTGGAATTTTCTACGTACATTCATATGTCTGCTTATGCACATGGGGGGGGGAATATAGAACAGGCGAGGAGTAATTCGCAAACGTAAGTATCAGCGCTTTGCAAATACGGTGCTTCCAGTTTTGTTAACCAACTTAGGGACATAAAGAAGCAGATGCGACACGTTTGTTACATCATTGCTGATAGTGTTTACATACGTGTGTTTTTGATTTCTGGCATTTTAGGAGTTACCGTATGGCATCCCTTACCATGCTTCGCTTGACCCGAATGTTGACATGGTTCATGCCTCTCTAAAACCATCGTGAGTGTCGGCTACTCTTATCATGATTGCTATGTCGTGTAAGCAGTCTTCTAACCAGGTGAGCAGGGAACCGTTGACACTGTAGGGAGCATGCTTTTGGAGGAGAAAGAGGTGACTGACCCTGTCGAATGCCTTAGAAAAATTCAAGTAAACCACATCTATAGAGACTCCTTCATCAGCCAACCTGGTCCATGCGTACCGAGTAAGCAGCAAATTGGTGAGTCAAGATCGTCTGCGTCTGAAACCATGTTGGGCATTAGAAATTATTTGTTGACTTTTAAAGTAACGCGTCATTTCATCTGCGATTACCGATTCAATCACTTTTAATAAAACAGGAAGCAGAGTAATAGGTCGGTAGTTGGCAGGATCCCATCGCTTACATAGTATCGTTTCCTGGTATTGGCCTATAACAGATGAATACCGACGAGCATCTGCTTCCCAGCGACTTATACACAGTACGTCATTTATCACTGCAAAATTTATTGGAATTCAAATTTAGTAAACGCAAGGTATCACCAAAGCATATCAGAATATTGACTCAGACATTCCGAGAAATGAAATACTACGAGGATTTTCCGCTGAACTAGACGCGTGTGCTGGTTCAGGATTACTTTGCCTGTAGCACGCAATCAGCAAAGGCATCGAACTGTGTTAACCAACATGTTGGGCTGTTTCAACGGACTTTCGGACAAACTGACTTTATTAGTTTCTGGCAGTTGCACATTGCATATATTAGCCACCATATCGAATACCAATTCAAGCCTGGTATCCATGTTTGGGACACGATTCCACCGTACTGGCCCACTCACAAATTCGAGCTTCCAAGTATTTTCATTGAAATGCGCAACCTCCGATAGATGTATTGGTTGAATATTTTTGGGAGTATTGTGTGGACCGTATTGCTGATTACGAGGTGACCTGATAATGATTCATATACGGGATGGTACAATCATATAAGGTTAAACTACAAAGTGATGGGTAGGGATTGGGTGGTTTGCTCGGTAGTTTGTTCCGAAATGACTCGGTCAATTTTGTGAGGCAACATAGATTGGTCGGCCCGCTCACCAACTTTCACGTCGCATTAAGGAACATGATCTTAAATAGTTGTTAAACGGGGGCACCAGAGTTCTTACAAGCAGTATTTTGTCTCATTTGTACGAATCGGGTCACCAGATTAACATTCCGAATGCCTTTACTGTGATTTCTCAGGTTCCAATGAGCAAATCGGAAGGTACGCTGTTAAGGATGTTCGACACTGCAGAAGCCATTGCGATCCGCATATTTCAACCCCGCTGTGCTCGCAGAAGAAGTTTGTTCAAGTTCTACACCTGCCCTGGCCGAACAGACATCAGCCTAGCCGTCACGCTGACATAGGCTTAGGCATTGTGATTAGGTTAAATTCAATCGATCTGTGTGAATGAGACAGCGGCGAACTATTCGCTGTCTAATTATTAACCGATCACTATCCATCCTTTTGTAGTTAAAACTTATATGATTGTACCGGCCCGTAGATGAATCATTGAAAACAAGTGTTTGTGGCATACTGGTTTTTTTTGGAAAGACAGATTGGCTGCGGAACACCTGCGGAAGTCCTATAATAAACATATAATTACTGAGCATCCTGCAATGAGTTATCTGGAGCATTTGGAAAAAAACGTCAACTGGAATACCAGTAGTTGTAACCGTTGATACTGCTTTGCAAACGGTTACACAGAAAGGCCTATTCCGGTCCGCTTGCACAAGAATTGCAGCGTAGCCCGATTTGAGAGCCGCGCGCTGAGGACTATGCACTGTCATACAAAAATGCTAGAAAAAACGTGCGTTCCGTTTTCTTTCTTTAGATTTATCTACTTGCGGAGCCAATTGCTACCCACCCATACCATGTAAGAGGGTTGCAACGTTTATTAACAAAATCCTAGTTTGAGTTCTTTATGATAAGGTATATATTCTCATGGAAAAAAGCACCAGATAAACTAGCTAAAAATGGGCCCAAAACTTCTAGGTAACGATGATTAAAGACTGGTTTTAGCTTCCATTGACCACTAAATCGCCATAATACGAATCGCATGCTGCAATATTGCACATATGCTTATCTCCCACGGAACTGTATGATTCGTACATCTTGATCTGTAATCCTAAAGACAGTTTCTCTGATCATGTGTGTTACTGACTAACGGGTTACGCAACTCAGATTAGTAGTGGAAATGTAGTTCCGAATATTCGTCTAAATGTGGGGCAAACGATGATAATTTGACTTTGCGAGTAGTTTAATGCAAGCGTACAAGTTATCTTCACTTTTTTATCGTCAAACGGCGAAACCGGAAAGTTATAGGTTTCAGACACCGTCTCGTACTTTCCTGGCTAAGCCAGAAGAAAACCGTGTCATCTTATTTCGTATACTTGTTCGACCTCAGTTTCGTAAGTTATTTTCTATCAGTAGAACAGGCCAATCGAATTAACGAGCTCATGTACCGGTAGACATTCTTAGGTCCCGTAGGTTTAAAAGCGGTTCAAATTCACGGAATCACGCAGACGTATTTAAAGCCGTTTCATTTTGAAACAGTCTAGCCATGCGTGCCCCATACATGGTCCCTGGACGATCGCACCCAGACATGCGAGGGACCATGTCTGTCTTGACAGCGGAAGTGACCCCAATTCTTGTTGGTTGACGGCGCATATGTGAATTTTGTTACAGATAAATGGACCAATCATAATTCTATAAGAGCGTGTCCTTTTAGTAGCGTAACGCCATGGAATTGACCAGCGCCTGTGCGCGATATATGGACGACACATCACTGTTTGCTGAACTGGCAATTGGGTGTGGCAAGTATGTGCCTGTGGGTGGTGCACTCTTAAAATGTTCAACACTCTGGTTGCCTGTGAGCGACTAAACTGCTCTTGTCGGCCAAGATACTTCCAGAGCTGTGCAACCTGTTCATCACCATGGGGGCAGCAGTGGGTTTCCGAAGTGGATTGTCAAGAAATTGGACTGGATCCCTCTCGGAACTGAATCACTGCAGACCGCATCTTGGTCGAGGTACGGAAGAACAGTTTGGTCATTATTCCCCACCAGGCTTTTTGAGCTGGCATGACGGAGAATCAAATTTGTCGGAACCTGATGACATGAAGATATTTAGAGGAAATGTGGTAGATTATGTTAGGTCCTCGAGTTCTGTTGGCACTTCATTGTTAAAATTTCGTCATCTCTTACGAACTATTCACAAGAGCCTTAGCGATGAGAACGTGCCTCATGGAATTGCACACGAAGAACAAAATTCACCATCCTTATCCCCAGCGAGAAACAACCATGTGCAAAACACGGATTACCTGACTTCCGCTGACAGTTTAATTGAATCCTTATTTGATGATCATTTGGAACGTATGCTTCTCCATTCTCGAAGGCTTTATTTCCACCAACGATCCAAGCGACGGAACTGCGCTAGCGAAAGCGATTTAAGGTGGTCTTCATTGGACGACTTAAATGCATTTCCACTGGAATCCAATTCATCTCAGCCTCGCGAATTTAAAGATGAAAAAGCCAGTTCTCAAGACACTAAATCAACTTCAGACCAGTACGTAGACAAAAAACAGTGCGCAACGGAGAAAAGTGCTCCACTCGTTACTCACTTCCCTAGTTCCATACCAGTGGACATCTACGGTACAGATACGAAAAACGAGAGCGAGCTAACCGCAAGTGATTACAGAATAGAAGAGCAAACAAACAAACTTGAAGAAGTAAGCCCAGATGTTGCACAACCGCCGTCATCAGAAATGGCTGAAAGGTCTTTGTCGGAAAATTATCTTTGTGTTTGTGCTAGCCTGCAAAAAGTTGCTGAATATGGGAAAGAGGAGCCGGTGATTATGTTGGAAGTTGCCAAAGCCACCGATTCCCTGAATAGTCTAGAAATTGGATTAAAGGACCGGAGTGCCTCCATAGAGTTCGAAGTCACGCAACCGACAACCAAGTTGCAAAAATCAGTCATTTTTGCCGACGAGGTTGGACAATCTCTCACGGAAACTTTTGTCTTTCACAGAGAAGAGTCGTTCAAATCATATGGTATGTCTTTAAAAATTCTCCAGCTATTTCTTTTGTAAAGTGTTGATTGCAGGTACAGGTTTACCAAGAATCCAAGTCGCCACAAATTTCCAATGTTGCACCAATTACATTGATTATATTGATTCCCATAAACGCTTTAATCTCTCTTCAAGCATTTAGATAAAATGACAAACCACGTGCATTTATATATACATAGTTAAAATTGTGACTAAATCGGTAATTTCCAGAGGATCTGCTTCTTGACTCCCAGCTGACAATTTTCTTTAATGGCTATCTTGCAGACTTCGAATGTAAATATCGCCAGGGTGTTGTTTGGGAATGCAATCTGTCTTTTAACATCACTCCAGAATATCCGAAATTTGATAAAATAAACTTATAATTTTATGGAAACGTTATCAGATTTAGTCAAATAAGTGCATATATGAACGAAAACAGGTCCGTGTAGAAACAATGGCACAACCTTTACAGCGTATGCTACTGGTGAAATTGGTTTGTGGGTGAAATCTATTAGTATGTATGTAGTACGTGCATTAATGACATCCGAAATCGCACAGACTATCACCGGTGCGCTGGCAATCCGATATCTGACGACACAAGCTTGAGATTTCATGATAGAAATCTTCGACCACATAATTCTTTCATCATGACAAATGCTGTAAGTAAATATACGTGCGGTAATTTAACATAAACACTACAGGTTTCCTTCCATTTCTCCCACCATTGTGCAGAATAGATAAACAGTGCTCACGTATTCTCTCAGACAGCCTCCTAGTAGTTCTTCCGATGTATCTTGCTCGACATGAACAAGAGAAGCAATATACACAGTAAGAAGCACACGCTCAATGAAGTCTGTCTTTGAGTTGAGGCCTCAAGATTGGTGTCGAAGTAAAGCTTAGCCACAAGCTCGCTGCGTAGTAGGTATGGTTCATGGCGTCGGATAACGTTCTAGATGTTGCCTGCGCTATACCATCCCCCTTGAATGGCAACGACAGATAAACTGGTTTCTTTTATACCGAAGCTGGTTTAGCTCTCATTTCTCTGCACTCCATATATTTCCGAACAAATTTCTCTGGAGAGCCATTTCTCTCGAAAACGCCACTTAAGAAACTGAGCTCGTCCGCAAGTGTGTCCTCACTACCAATCCTTCTGGCCTTTTCGGTTGGACATCTAAGTAATTTGAGTTTCTGATTTATTGGGACAAAACTGGCAAAATGTATATTGTCTGTTTCACGTTGCTTTTCTATGCACCCTCCGTTGGACCGATCCATCTGCTCTTCTACTAAGCTGAACGTTTAGGAAAAATATCGTGTCATTGCTTTCAGTTTCTAAGGTGAACTTGGCATTAGGGTGCGCTGGGTTAAAATGGGATAAAATTGTCGCTGGGCAACAGTGTCTATCTGTCATGTAAAATATATCATCCACATATCGTCCGTAATATGGTAAACCAGTAATGACTCCGCTCAGATAGGTATTCTCTAATTTGCTCATGAACACATCAGCTAGTAGCGGTCCAAGCGGTGAACCCATTGCTACTCCATCTTTTTATCTCTGTGCATAGCCCCGTTAAACTGAAATTATATGTTACTAGTGCACAGCATGAGTAGCTGTTTCGATCGATCAGTTGAAAGGCCGACACCTAATTGGTGGTCTCTAACGGTGTCACATATATAGTCTATTGTCTCTTCTAACGGAATATTGGTGAAGAGCAACACCACATCCAACGAAAACATCTTTCTTCCGGTTGGCTGAAGCTGTCTTATGGAGTCTAAGAAACTGAATGTGTCTCCTAGGCTGTACCTGGACATGATATTTCTCACCCGCTCTAGAATCTTAGGTAACCACTTGGTTGTTGCGTGATACGGTGAACTGGACATGTCTAGTGTGAGCCTTAGTGGAAGTTCTTCTTTATGCACCTTCGGTAAGCCGTAGAGTCTCGGGATCACCGTCCCTGTGGGACGAATGCATTAGAACGTGGCGGAGTCTATCATGTTTTCTTGTTTCCAGAACCGTAGTAGCTTAGAAACTGTCTTTTCTATTGCGGCAGTTTTGTCCTTCTCATTCTCCATTTTCCGGAAATTCGAGCAATCGCTAACGATGGCTTTCATCTAGTCGATGTAACCAGCTTTCTCATTCAACACCATCCCTGCTCCCTTATCTGGCCTTGAAAGAAACACATGTTCATTTTGTTTGAGGGCTTTGAGAGCATCTATGTGGTTCTTTTTCAGCAAATGCCTGAGTTTAGGTATTTGCTGAAAAAGAACCACATAGATGCTCTCAAAGCCCTCAAACAAAATGAACATGTGTTTCTTTCAAGGCCAGATAAGGGAGCAGGGATGGTGTTGAAAGAGAAAGCTGGTTACATCGACTAGATGAAAGCCATCGTTAGCGATTGCTCGAATTTCCGGAAAATGGAGAATAAGAAGGACAAAACTGCCGCAATAGAAAAGACAGTTTCTAAGCTACTACGGTTCTGGAAACAGGAAAACATGATAGACTCCGCCACGTTCTAATACATTCGTCCCACAGGGACGGTGATCCCGAGACTCTACGGCTTACCGAAGGTGCATAAAGAAGAACCTCCACTAAGGCTCACATTAGACATGCCCAGTTCACCGTATCACGCAACAGCCAAGTGGTTACCTAAGATTCTAGAGCGGGTGAGAAATATCATGTCCAGGTACAGCCTAGGAGACACATTCAGTTTCTTAGACTCCATAAGACAGCTTCAGCTAACCGGAAGAAAGATGTTTTCGTTGGATGTGGCGTTGCTCTTCACCAAAATTCCGTTAGAAGAGACAATAGACTATATATGTGACACCGTTAGAGACCACCAATTAGGTGTCGGCCTTTCAACTGATCGATTGAAACAGCTACTCATGCTGCGCACTAGTAATATACAATTTCAGTTTAACGGGGCTATGCACAGAGACAAAAAGATGGAGTAGCAATGGGTTCACCGCATGGACCGCTACTAGCTGATGTGTTCATGAGCAAACTAGAGAATACCTATCTGAGCGGAGTCATTACTGGTTTACCATATTACGGACGATATGTGGATGATATATTTTGCATGACAGATAGGCACTGTTGCCCGGCGACAATTTTATCCCATTTTAACCCAGCGCACCCTAATGCCAAGTTCACCTTAGAAACTGAAAGCAACGACACGATATTTTTCCTAGACGTTCAGCTTAGTAGAAGAGCAGATGGATCGGTGCAACGGAGGGTGCATAGAAAAGCAACGTGAAACAGACAATCTACATTTTGCCAGTTTTGTCCCAATAAATCAGAAACTCAAATTACTTAGATGTCCAACCGAAAAGGCCAGAAGGATTGGTAGTGAGGACACACTTGCGGACGAGCTCAGTTTCTTAAGTGGCGTTTTCGAGAGAAATGGCTCTCCAGAGAAATTTGTTCGGAAATATATGGAGTGCAGAGAAATGAGAGCTAAACCAGCTTCGGTATAAAAGAAACCAGTTTATCTGTCGTTGCCATTCAAGGGGGATGGTATAGCGCAGACAACATCTAGAACGTTATCCGACGCCATGAACCATACCTACTACGCAGCGAGCTTGTGGCTAAGCTTTACTTCGACACCAATCTTGAGACCTCAACTCAAAGACAGACTTCATTGAGCGTGTGCTTCTTACTGTGTATATTGCTTCTCTTGTTCATGTCGAGCAAGATACATCGGAAGAACTACTAGGAGGCTGTCTGAGAGAATACGTGAGCACTGTCCAGCTAATCTACGGAATGGTGGGAGCAAAACTGTGATGAGCGCCTTGTTTGCACACTTTTGGTTTATTCTAAGCACCAAATCGACACCTGCGAATCTTTCCAACTGATTTCCCTTATTTTTGTTCTACAAAGAGTGCGCTAACGAATTTGACTGCCACTATTGTGCTACTAGTCTGTTAGCAACTTAAACGATGAACAATGAATTTATGCTGGTTAAAAAGCATCTGCGAGCATGTTTGGGTAGTTTTTTGGTGTTATCTAAAAAGTAATAAAACGGTTACTACTTTAGGTACGAAAAGATAGTTTTATCGTTTGTTCCGCTGCGGTCCTGTAACCCGCTTATTTTCACAGCACCAAAGGTAAGAGCAATCAATTCTAAAGTATGTTCCAGGGTTAGCATGGATACGTAGTGCTAAGTAACAAAGTGCAAGTGGATGAATGCGTCATTCAACCTTCGTTAAATGTTGTTACTTCGGTGTAGGGACCACCGGTTCAGATACAGCATTCCACGGTGACATACATGAATGAAAAAGAAATTATTGCGGCACTCCAGACGGCTATACTGTTCTGCTAATTTCAGTGATTGGTCCATCAGGTTTGTTTTGCTGCCGTTGCAATAAATAGTGGCACATATGATATGGGTCATGAAGAATCAAGTATGCCGATATAAGATCTCATAATCTGTGATATCGTGCGCTGAATACCCAAATCGTTTCAGCCTCTGCTCGCATGGGCATTGCGCATTCCGTTGAAATATGTGGATGCCCTAGATTAAGGCTGTTACATTGCATTATGATTGTGTTTCGGCCATGGATACCTAGCTTGAACGGCTTAATCGACTTTGGGGCGAACATACGCACTGAGCATCCGTTGAAAAGCAGTGATGCCGATTTGTCCCAACGATCATTGCAACAGCCCGACGTGTTGGTTTCCAACCTCCAAGACTTTTACAGATTGCCTGGAGCAACCTAGGTCATCTTTAACCAGCACAACCGGATAAAGTTCGACGGACGATTGGTGCAGCAAATGCGTTCCGAGACTGTATGCGTTGAGCTGGTGTTGTATGAGAATTTCCTCGATCGTACCCAAATAGAATGTAGAAAATTTTTGACTGATCACCTATTTACCTTGTCTAAGTCAACCTGAAGCAGGGGGGTCGCCGGCATTCACCTGGATTCTGCGCCAAGCTTTGATCTCATCCGCAAACAGTGGAAAGCGTGAAGCGGCTGACTGTGCGCGATCACTAGGAAAAAGCAAAACAATCGTGACTCCAGCTCAGAGTCCTGCTTCACACCACACCCAAATTGTGTGAGTTCAGAAAAGAGCTCCAAATCCTGACAACTAATGGTCGTTGAAAGCGAAAGTTGACGATCCAGCTTAAGAGGATCATCGACCCCGTAATATTTGAGCTTGGAAAGAAG